ATCTATTCTCACCTTCTCAACCTTTTTGTCATCCTCCTTAGGACCTCCCTGTTATGAGGAATTATCATGTTATCTATATTATACTATACCTGACTTCATCGAGATACAAATTGTTTGAGCAACAAATTGCATCCTTCCATGCCACCTTTAGAAATTTTTCTAAAGCATTCATTTCGCTTCCAGGAAAAAGAGATTTTGATTGATTTTTGAGGTCAAACRATTTAAGAATYCATAAGTAATGGATTCTGTTAAAACAAAATCAAAACTTTCTTATTTTCAGTATTGATTCTAATTCAATCTAGTTATTTTGTCCTTCCATCTCCGCCTGAAAATTTCTTTCAGGCGTTAGTTTTCTTTTCCAAAAAAGCGGAAAAGAGAGAGGAAGTCGATTTTTGAGGTCTAACATTTTACTTTCAAGTTTATTGTATCACGGGTTCTGTTAAAAACAGTGGCTTTTTTCTAGTTGTAATATTGGCTTCAAATTTCCCATAGTTATTGTTGAACATTTTACCACTAGTATCACAGAAGTTAGAACATATTCCATTTGGCCACAAGAGTCGAACATTATTTGTATATTTGAGTCAAAAGTTGACTTAGTTCCTATGAGTGCTTTGGTGATATGTAGACATATGGAAACTGCCCTGCTTCAATGTCGAGATACCAGAGGCCTCCTTAAATTTGTGGAAGAACAGGTACGTGTCGTACAAGCAAGAAATGTGCAATGCCATGAATGCTGGAGATGAATCAAAAACCAACTCTGCAAACATTGTGATTAAAAAGTATAAGCAGGTCTAAATTTTTTGAAATTTTGTTTATTGAACTTGATAGTTGCATGTTTCAAGGAATCACCCCAAAAGTTGAATTTGAAATCGAGTCATATCTTCACTTGCATCTGTATGTATTGTTTGATTCATGTAGATGTTTTATGCGGCTGAGGATTTTGCAACGAGTACTAGGAAGATTGAGGATCTGCATAATGAAGCCCTTTCAATTTATCATGTAACTTACGATTATGCTCGAAGCACTAATGATGTTAAGAAGTGTGGGTTTGCATGGAAGGTAGCTGGTGAGGCCCTCTGCTCATTTCATGGAATGAAGACCCCTGGAAAGTCAATTCGTTTCAAACTAGCTGTTTTATCAATGTTCATTTAGAAGGATATGTATATATGTATATATATGAATACATTTAGCTATATATAGGCATTGGAGTCCTTGTGTAGATGGCCAATATCATTGTATTTATAGGAGCGATGCCCACTGTAATATATATGGACTTCTTCTGCCCACTCATTTCCTTTCTGTCATATATGAAGCAGGACGAGACTTTAGTACTAATTATATAGTCATCATAGTTATTGTTGGAACTTTGTGGGATTGATCCCACATGATAATAGGAAATTATTGGTGGGTTGGTCCATTTTGATTTGGGCTTGGATATGCATGATTACATATACATTTAATGGTCACAGATTGGGCCTTAGATCTTGGGACTCTTGGTCTCTATGAATCCGGATTTAATTTCTATTATTTTAATTTTCTTATTTTTGGATTTACAGTATTAACATTTAAATATTTGTTTCTTCGGATAACCACCAAATATTTCAAAAGACAGTTTTGATGCAAAGGTATAAACCCCCCGAAAATTGGTGTTTTTGACATATAACTCTCCCTCTTGGGTAGAGGTAAGGTCCCACATACATCATACCCCCAGACTCTACCTCTGTGTGGGATATATTAGGTTCTTCAATTTTCCCTCCAAATTTCCCTCATGTACTTGCATTCGATCGGATGGTTGTATCCTCTAGGCAACACCCAGAACCATAGCACAAGTGGGGGCGAATTTCGTCTTAGGACACTGCATTTATAGTCCTCTATCCAATTGAAGTTCTACAGCAAGTTCTTGATTTGGTCGAACAGGTGAGTGCTCTAATTTGCAAGTTTATCCATCGTAGTTTGTGTTGAAATTTTCTGTTGATAAATAGTGTTATATAGTCTTGATAGATTGGTCATAACAGTTATTTTTCTCAAACATTTAATAAACTTTTATCGATTTACAGTAGGGGTGTGTGGTTTTTCTTACCTTGGTTTATATACCTACTTTTGGTTGTATGTTGTTGTTTACTTCTAACTCAAATTTTCTGTTTTCTTGTTTCAGCTTTCATGTTCTTCTTTTCCGAACTCTCATCTTTTGCTATTCCCTTTATTTCATGTGGGGTAACTTCCTATCTTTTTCGCACACTACTCACAAGCCAAGGATCTTCATGGAAACAACTGCTTTACTTTTTGAGGGTAGAGGTCAGGTACACCTACGTCTCACCTCCACTGCGCTTTCGGAAGGGATATACCGGGCTCGTGTTGGTTTGGTGTTGGCTTATCCATTTAGAATGTGAGTTTTTCCACAAGTAGAAACTGTATATTTTCTGCTACATTGTAGATGTGCCATGAGGCTGAAGATTTTGCTGCAGGTACTAGGAAGTTTGAGGATATTCATAATGGACCACCCTCAAGGTTCATTTACAATCTATTAGAACTCGTGGAGAAGCCAAATACGTAGGAATCATCCCTTAAGTCCTCTTTATCAATCCCTTCATTTAGAAACAAAAACAAGGCAAAAGTAGGGAGAGTGGTAAGGATCTCATGTGGATCTGTCTCAAGGATGGCCACCTACATTGGGGCTATCTTGAATGACTAGCAGCAGAAAAGCAAACTGCTTTCAACAAAGTCAGTCATCTTTGTGTGGTCGGCAAATGCAAAAGCTTCTTAAGCACAAAGTAATCCTTCAACAAGGGTGGATAAAAATGCAATCATGGTGCTCAAGCCTAATTGTAAGTGGAGGATTTATTTAGGCTTCATGAAATCCCACAAGACCCGGGCTTTTTTGGGCCTAGGCTCGGGCCTTCCAATCCCATTTTCCAGTAAGCAAAAAAACCTGGGCTTTTTCAGACTCAGGCTGGGCCCCGCTTTGGGGTTGAAAGAGGGCCCAATCCTGCTTTTTTAGGCCGGATTTAACCGGGCCTTGAGAAAAAGTTGGCCTGATCAGGATTTAAGGCTGGGCTTCGGGCTTGGGCTATTTTTGGATCTCTACAACACATTATCGTATCCTAGATGATGTAATATCGTGCCCTTACGTATCTAATGTCTATAAAAGTGTAGTCTGCATGGAAGTTGGCTGGTGATGCTCTTTTGTTCATTTCTTCATATGAAGACGTCTGAAAGTCCATTTGGTTAGCCCTGGTGAAATCTAGGTTTTCAGCTCGAAACCGCTCTGTTTGAAGGTTGGTTAGCCATGGTGCAGTTTGGGTGAACAATGGAACACTTTTAGCAGAATGTAAGTACCACTGTAGCAATTATGATAAGTTTAAAAACCATACGATTTCAATAAAAAAAAAAAAGTTGTTTTGGAAGCTTATTTTAACAAACTGCCGAAATCCTTACAGGTTGGTGGCAGGCTTCTGTTATAGTAGGTCTAGTAGAGTATGCTGAAAGCTTTTCCATACACACAACTGGAGTTACCGGAGCTGCAGACTGTCGGTTAGTTTCTATATTTTTCTTTCAGGGTCCTCGACGGTAGTGTGGTCACTCGAACACAAAAACAAGTTACAACCGGATAGCGTACAACTAATCAACAAATCTAATACAACAGAACCGTTCTGGGTTTTGTAGAACATGTCTTTTGTAATAAGTACACGAATTTGGATAATTAAACAAAGTTCACCTGAAAAGAGGACAACAGTAGTAGTATAACAATAGCGATTGAACAAAGGTCTAAAATTTTTTGGAACGTCGAACTATGAAGAATATGGGGTAAAAGGTTTCGTTATATATATATGTAAATATGGTCAGCTTTAGAGGAAAACCGCAAAAAAATAACTGAGGAACACCCTAATAATCATTCATTTGTACGGTATGCACACGTGCATACAAGTAATTTATGAACACTCTAATAACCATTCATTTGTACGGTATGCAAATATGCATATAAGTAATTTGTCACATGCACGTGTGTGTGCATAGAAATCAAGAAACATCTTCAATTACTTGTATGCAAATATGCATACCGTACAAATAAATGGTTATTAGGGTGTTTCCCGGTTTTTCATTTTTTGCGGGTTCTTCCTGAACCTCACTCCTCTCTCTCTCTCTATTATATATATATATAGAGAGAGAGAGGGGGGGGAGATTCAGGGGAAAACCCCTCAAAAGATGAAAAACAGAGGAATACCCGGTAACCTTTCATCTGGATAGCCCCCTTTCCAAGGGTCATTCAACACTTGCTTGACGAGAACCCGAGTGAAGAGAGGTTGTCAACCTTCTCGCCCATTGCATTGAATCTAGCACGAGACCAGTTTACATGTGTATACAAGTAATTGAAGTTGATTCTTGGATTTTATGCACGTGTGCATGTCATGCACTTGTGCATACCGGACAAATTAGTTGTATGCACGTGTGCATACTGTCCGAATGAACAGTTATTAGGGTGTTCCTTAGTTTTTCAATATTTTGCGGTTTTTCTGTGAACCTGACCCTATATGCATTCGTACCTGCATCCACATAAGGTCAAGGCCAAGGCCTGATTTACAAGTTAGCTTGGATTTGCATATGCATATGCATACTAGTCTTTTGTAGCATAAAAATATTTAATATAAAAATATTAATATAATGCATACTAAAAATGGTTTTATAGTTGTAGTAGATACACAAGTTCTACTTCTACTTCAGGTTCATGAAGCTTGACTCTAGACGAAGTTGAGGTTGTTACCGCCACATACTCTCTCGATATAAAGTCTTCGTAAGTCGAACTTGATATAAGATCTTCGTACTGAAGTGAATGTTAAACATGTTACGTTTAATTATTGTGCATTTAAGGGATGCAAAATGAATATATGATTGTTTTATTTGTTTTTTCTTCAGATTCTTGGGGCCCCTTACCTGTGTGCTTTTGACTTATATATATGTACACACATATATATAGTTCGGATCAAGTGAGAACAACCCTTTTCGTATGAAGTTGAGAACATTTTTGAGCCTCTGGAGGAGTTGTTTTTTTAATCCAACGGCTAGAGAAACACGGACCTTCATCTACCTTCATCTGACGGCTCACTAAACACATGGGCCTTCATTTAGTTTCATCACCTTCATCTATCTTTATCACCTCCATCAATCTTCATCAACCTTTGTTTACTTGCATCTTCAACTTCACAAGTTTCAGTCATGGTATAGAAATTGAATGTTTGTGAAGGCAGGTGGATGAAGGTCCGATGTCACTGTTCTCACCAAAAAATTCATTTTCACGTGAATCCAACTCTCTCCTTCTCTCTCTCTCTCTCTCTCTATATATATATATATATATGTGTGTGTGTACACATACAAACACACAGATAAATGGAGTGACATTGCTTGTTAGTATACCTATGATTTGTAACATCAGAAGGTGAAGCCTTGTTAGAATAACCCGTATAAAAACTACATAAACACAACACTTAGGGGGTGTTTTGGCTTAGAGGAAGAAATTTGATGGAATTAGAATCTATCAAATGAATTTGACTTTGAAGGAATTGGAATGTAATTTGACCATGCGTCTGGTTGATAGGAATTGAAATGAACAAAATAATGGGAACAACCGTCTTTCTTTGGACTATACCACCCATCGCCCCGCCCACACCCTACCCTACCCACCGTCATGTCAAACTGTCGTGGGTGGTGATGGAGTTTAATTCCTTCCATTATGCCAATGAATGACAAATTCATTAATTTGTGGTATATATGGAATTTGAAGGATTCTGCCCATTTTAAGAAATGAACCAAACAAAAGAATTGAAATTTGTTCAAAGGAATTTGTCATTCCAATTCCATCAAACTTCTTTGAATTCCATGAACCAAACGGCCCCTTAATATACGAGACCTTATTTGATAAATCTTCATATATATATAGAGAGAGAGAGGGAGGTTTCGGGGAAAACCTCAAAAAAAAATGAAAAACTAAGGAATACATTGATAACCTTTTCATCTGGACAATATGCACATCTGCTTATTGGTCATTGAAGTTGTTTCTTGGTTTTTATGCACATGTGCATACCAAACAAACTGCTTAAAGTTACTGTGCATATCGGTCAGATGAACGGTTACTAAAGTGTTTCTCAGTTTTTTTTTTTTTTTTTTTTGCAGTTTTCCCAAGAATCTGATCCGATATATATAGGTTGGGTTCCATGAAAATGAAAGTTATGATATGAAAGGATAAATCCAGCCTAACTTTGTGTGCATAGATAAACCATTTGATTAATCCAACATTGTTGAAGCAATTGTGGTTTGATTTGCGAATTGGCCTTTACCTGGACCACCCATGTAGTTAACTTGGAAAATGCAGGTTATGACAATAAATCTCCAAAAAGGTAAAAATTGGATTCAATCATTTCATGGTTAGATTCGTCACCTCTGGTGAAAATTGCTAGCATGGCGTTACAAGCACCACGGTCTTCGCCATAATCTGGAGTGTCGATTGAGAAACATGACTTCTCAACGGTGGAATTGGAGATTTCTACAACTAAGGAGGGTTCAAAAGTGGTCATGTCGATGAAGATTCCATTAAGGGAGAGGCCAGAGAGGGTGTCGGAGGTTGGGTGGAGGAGTGGTAGCCTACGATGGAGAAAACGACGTCCAATTGGGAAGCGACGACACGAGGAGAGGAAGCTTACTGAAGAAACCAATTTCTATATCATTAAGTCACTATCAAACAATCATGCATAACTAACTGAATAACCAGCGAGTCTTCTTAAGCTGCTACTAACAAAGAGATCTTAAAGAGAATAATTGAAACATGCAATTGAACCAACTACTAAATACTAGATAAAAACACACCTAGAAGATGTACACCTGTACCTTTGATGTATACAATTAATCGGCTAATAAGTTCAGTGCATTTATGATCTCAAAACATTTGTGAGTAACATTTGTCGATGGGAGATTTAAGAAGGGCCATTGGGATCCATGAACTTTATTTTAGACACTGATACTACCATGGTTTGTATTACCAGTGGCGAACCCTTGTCGCAGATTTTCATCATCGACAAACTTGAAGAAAATTTGTTAACAAACATGTATTGTAAGATAAAAATTCAAAAAATGACATAATTGTACAAACATAAATACAATCGATGACCGTGTTGTGTTGTGCACAATTCTTTTTCTTTCTAAGATAATAGGACAAAATGGTTTTGCATGTTCGGATATTCACTCTAATCATAAGATTTTTGCAATAGTTGAAATAGAAAGTAATATATATACATATCACTATTAAAAAAATGGGCATTAACAGCGAATTTTTCCGATGGAATTTTTGATGAATCCCAAAAATGTCAATTTTTTATTGACTTCCGCCACAACTCCGTTCAATGAATTTTTAGAAAAAGAATAAAAATTTATTTCCATAACTTTCCTGACGGATTTCTGATGGATTTTTTACTTATTTATTGTTTTAAGAAACTGTCACAAATCAATCGGAAATCCGTCATAAAATTGATGTAATTTTTTTTAAGAAAATTATTTAGTGTTAATTAATTAACATTTCTGACGGATTTTTGTTAATTATTTATTTAATTAAAATCCACGGAAATGATTTACGAAAATGTTTTTTTCCGTCAACTATTTCTAAAAGAAAACAAAAAGAAATTCTAATATATACTCATTTACATCGGAAAAGTTTTAGAATTTTTATTTTATTTTTTTCTTCTCAAAATATACATATTTCCGTTGGAAAACCCATTTTTTTAGCATACATAAATAGAGGAAAAAATTCGGTTGCAAACCTATCGTGAATAATGAAAACGAACATTCGTGAACTACTCATAATGAATAATACAACATTCATCATCCATGATACACTATTCATAATGAATCACTCGTAAATGTATGAGACGTGTGTTCTACTCTCCTTTGTCCCCCAGTTCACAACCTAAAATCAGTTTGCAACCGAACCTCGTAAATGTATGAGACGTGTGTTCTACTCTCCTTTGTCCCCCAGTTCACAACCTAAAATCAGTTTGCAACCGAACCT